CACTGATTCAGAGGTTTCCTCACCTCTAAATGCTCCCGGATGATGTACGAATTTCCAATCTTCACCTTGACTCCTTTATAATCCCCAACATCACTGAGGCATATAGCGTACCACTGAGGTGGGAGCAGAAGCAACACTAATATATGAACATGACCCCTCAATAAAAAAAGAGCGATTATTTGTTGATCAGATTACATCCCAGTCTTTGAGAGACCCCCTGCCTTACTTTGTGTGCTGCAAAACAYGTGTCACCCTTCTCCAGTGCCCTCTGGGCGTACTCGAAGGCCTCAAAGACCAGCTGTTTCTTCCTCTCGGCCTCCGTGTCGGGCAGCAGGGACAGGTCACGGGTCGCCCGGGCCAGCCTCCACAGGAACTCTGCGTTATCGCTGCATGGATGCACACAAATCAGTTTGTTTGCTCACCTTTTTTGCTTGCTTGTTGTTACATCCTTAGTGTGGATGTTTGTTTTTGCATCGACATAATGCCTCGTGTCTTCTTTTAGGCTCCGCCTCCTCTCCTGTGCCTCCCCTGTGATTGGGTGCTGCTCCTTGGGTCTCAAGCCAGTCAATCAGCTGGGCCCTATTTAATGGCTGTGAAGCTGCACCTATGGGCCACCTGACTGCCATACACCATTTATTGTGTCAGCTGGAAGGCTCTTTGTTCTTTACAAATATAATGTAAGATTGGTCCAACTGATCTAGAAGGGGAGAGCTGCCTTTTTGTTTAACCTCAGTTTTCTCCTGTTTATGTGCTTGTTAGGTCAGGTTATTTTAGGTTTGTATATTTTATTTTCATTGGGGTTAGGTAAGCTTAAATGTTATATTATTTTTCTTTCAGTATAGTTTTGTTTGTTATTTTGGCCTGAGCTTTCCCTGAAGCCATTTAATCAGTCTTTATAGAAAAGAAACTTAAAACATGGCAGAAAATAAATACCATTAATGCCATTTTTGACAGATATATGTTAKTCCCTTTAATCTCCTAGACCAGGGGTTCTTAACCTTTTTGACCTTGGGGCCCAATTTACTGAACATAAAGTGACACAAGGCCCAGTCAGACATTACCAATGTATGGATCAAAATGATAATTATTCTAAATCTTGGTTTAATTTTTATTGTATTTACATCACAACTAACATAACTAAATTAAATACACTTACAGTTTAAAAGTAAAACTCCTGTCAAATAATCACAAGACATGATTATGACAAACTTTTTATATTGTAACCAGCCTATAACAGTTATTTGAACAAATACAAAGGTCAGTCAACAGACCACTCAGGCTTATCAGCACAAAAATATATATTTTTAACATAAACACTAACAAAAATAGACAATTCAGAAAATAAAATTGTGGGCATAAAATAAATAAATTAAAAATGTTTAATGTTTCAAATTTAAAAAATGTAAAAATAAATTTGATTAAGTACAAATGAAAATATAACCTTTTTAAACTTTGGCAACCAGAAGCTGCTCTTCACATTAGTGACAAACTTTAGTGTTTTTTGACAAGTTACTGTCATTTTTGCTTCTACTTTTCATTTAAAATGAGTTTCCATTCTCGGCAGGTTTCTAAGTTGTTTCTTCTACGTATTAAAAAGTTGTTAAACATCTGAGTGGCGCACTACTGCTACTAGTGGTGAGAAAGTGTATTGCAGCTTATTCAAAATCAATGCTGTCCAGTGGCCCTCTGCGGCCCTAAATTAAAAACTGTTGTTCTCTTGAGGCCCTCAAGGTGGCGCTCGCGGCGCCCATAGGTTAAGAATCTCTRTAGGGGACGTAACACTTGTTTTGGTTTGTTTCAGAGGAAGACAGACTATAAAACCTGTTGCTCACCTGTCCTTGTACTGCAGCAGCAGCAGATACAGCTTCTCCGTCTCTGCGCAGCCATACAGATAATCAGCCTGCTCCAAAACCCCGTCTGCATGAGCACAGATCACACCAAAACAATGTCCAGTAACCAAAGGCTAGTCCACAAGACTGCAGGAGGGGAGGGGTTGGGCTTAAATAACTGGGAACGTAAGGCCCTGTCACACTAGACCWGTGGTTCTCAAACTTTTCAGACTTGTGTACCCCCAGGAGCCAGTTTTTCATACCACTAGTACACCCCCCCCCCTCCCCTGTCAAACATAATGATGATTCTCCAAAACTATAATGTACAACAGCTGATTATTAAATGAAAATTATTTATTTAACCCCCTGGAACATTTAGTTGTCAGGAATTTTAATATTTTCAACTCAAATTAAACAAAAAGATAAATAAGTTGCCTTGAAAGTGAATAAGTAATTAAATAAATAAACCAGATAGCGGCAAGTGCAGGAAGCAGCAGCGTCCAAAATACATCAAATACCCAAAATGAGCTAATCCCACGAGATTCTACACTTTTTACAGGATTGCATTTTGTGTCAATTTCGTGATTCCRTTTCTATTTTCTGCATTGTGGAAATCATAGGGCCCTGCATGTCTCAGTCCTATTTTTATTTATTTTTTACACACCTGGGACATTTTTCCACGTACCCCCTGTAATATGCTCCTGGTTGGGAATCACTGCACTAGACAACTTATGAACATTTTAAAGACGTCTGCGTTGAAGAGGGAATTGAAAAAGCCAACAGGAAGCTTCTTTTCAGCATGTAGGCTGCATAATGTAATTCTAAAAAAATGTTCAAATATAAAACTTTTATTAGCAATTTAGACAKAAAAATGTTTCACAAGTTGTCTAGTGTGACAGGGCCTTTGGACAGAAATTTTTATGTAAAAAAACAAAGTGTGTRTTTAGCCCCCAGCAGCTGCTCTACCTTGTTCCGCAGCGTAGACCACAGGTGACCCCTGCACCCTGACAGCAGCTTTATAACCCAGATAGGTCAATGCAGGCAAACCCAGGAGGAATGCAGCTCGTCCACTCTGCACACAGGAAAGTGACAAAAACACCTATAATATTTGAGGGAATAAATGTGTCTAATTTGCTGCTATTAGGTTGTTAATTATAACGACTCACAGCTGATCTTAAATAATGTGTTAGGACACATGAAAGTGGGTTATCTTAATAAAAAAAATCAACATTACATCTGTTATTACACACATGAAATGCTTTGACCTTTAACCTATTTCTTCCACCACCGCCTCTGTGTGGATGTGGGACTAGTTTCAAACCAAATAAACCGTCTATTGAGTGATAATTAATAAAAAAAAATGTTATTTACAGTCAGAGAACTGGCAGTCCGCTGTGAAGTTGTCCAGAAGAAGCGGTTATTTCCTYTGACTATGGCGCCTTTATTAGCGCCAGGTGCAAACTCCAGTAAAATCCTGCTGACACACCGCGTTAAAACTCTTCCTGCCATCCTGCGTCAGGTCCAAACTCTGAATGAACAGGTTAGAGACTTYACCGTCCGGCAAAGACACGGGGAGCATTCAAGAGCACTTGTAAAGAAAATATAAAAAAAAAACTAACAGCGGAAGTACCTGGTTTAAAATCAAAACATTTGCTTGAATGTTAAAAGATAACACAAGTGCTCTATTAAAAAAACTATATTCAATTCCACGCATAAAACCAGGAGAGTTTTACAGCTKTGATGTTAAAGAACACATTTTAAATTGAGCTTCTTGAACGCACCCCTAATAGTGGAATTTGGTCTTGTTTATGCTTCCGGTAAGAAACAAACCACTGTTTTAGGAGTTCCGCGTGAATATTCTGACTAAGTAATGCACAAGTCCCATTTCAAATCACGTTGTCAAAAGTTTCACAACAAAACCTTTGAGTTTTAAATGTACCAGACAACGCGTACAGTCTCAAATTTAATGCAGGCTAACACAGTTTTGAACTAAGCGAGAAACCGAACTAACCTGTTGCGGTCGGGTTCCACCCGGGCAGCGGCCCAGCTGCTGTTGTCACATAACGGGACTACTTCACTTTCAACCGAGACACAAACAGCTGGGTTTCTACTGCTTAGTAGGTAAGAAAAAACATAATAAAAAAAGAAAGGTGTTTGTGCGCTTTAGTTTATGAGAACCAGAAATGATTTGTAATCTGTTTTGAGCTGCGCAGCTTAAAGATTTTATCGCTCAATTTAACTAAAACGTAATATAAACAAATGCTGTTAAACATTTACTGCTCTTATGACAATAGTTTTGATCAGTACAACAGTTGTTTTTTCAGAGAGGAAAACGTATTTTATTGGTTAGAGCATTTTAGGCATATTTGACGCCTTTAAATTAATAAAAACGCATTTTGTTTCCATTCTCTTTATTCAGTATTATGTTATTTTTTATCTATCACAATAAAGAGATTTCAACAATGTAGCCTATACATCAAGACGTTCAGCTCAGGACTCCTGTTATAGCTTTTGGTTATGATATATTTTCAACTTTCAGATATTCAACTTTTTTTCTCTCATTGAAAATACATTATATTGGAATTCCATAAAATCCCTCAATATTTTACTGTTTTTTTTTACTTCATCTACTTCAACATACTTAATAGAAAGGCCAGACTACAACAACACCTTAGATTTTAAACTATTATAGAATGATTCAGCTTTTTGATATCTTGAACCGTTCTTGTACAATCAGCATTTCAGTTTGTGAAAGTTTTGAGATTTTCTTGTGTCCTGTGTTTTCATGGTGTTTAGCTTCAATGTATGTTTATGAAATTACGTACTCATTCAGTTTTTGTTTAGATATTTTGGCCTATTCATCTGTTCAGCCTTTTTCACTTCTGTACAGCTGTTATACTGTAGTTTACCAATAATGGGACATTCATCATTTAAGCTGTATTAAAACAGTTTTAATGTTTATTCGTCCATTTTTATCTTCTGTCCAGCTATTTTAACGGTTTACCGCATTAAAAGTGATATTTAGCCTTTTTATAGCTTTAGTTGAGCATTTTCAAGGTTTGTTCAACCATTTTAACTTTTTAAAATTGTTTTATACTTGCAACATTTAACAAGTTTACAGTTATTGTCAAAAGGTGAGCAGCTGGAAGAAGACAGAACAATTACAAAAAGGTAAGTGATTTTATTAAAAAGGTGACAGGTTAAAAGGTTTCACAGATCTGGAAGAGAGGAAGGTAGACTGGTTMATGTGTTTGACAGGTGAGTATTGATCAGCAGCAGGTGAGTTATTATTCTTGCAGGTTCCAGAACTGTATTTGACGGAGAGGATGATCACGGGTCCAGAAGGTGAGTAAAATGATTTTCCAGGTAGGGTGGCTGACAGACAGAACCAGGCAGGTGAGTTTCCTTCAGGTGTGACAGCAAGGCAGACAGGCAGATCTCAGGTGGGACAAACTTCACAGGTAGGTCTTGTGGCTGGCTGCAGAGGTTCCACAAAGAAACAACAAAATAAGTTTAGGAAAAAACTCAAGAACATTAAGTTCACTGAGCAGCCTGGAGTAAATACCCTAGTGTGTGTGATGATCCAGTGAGGAACTGGTCTCCAGTGCTGCCTTAAATACCCACAAAGTTAATCAGATCTAATCCGGCCCAGCTGCATCAATCAGGCTGTAAATCCTGAGGTGTGCAGGTGAGTCTCACTGAATGCCTCAGCATTCAGCCTTTTTAAGCTTTAGTTAAGTATTTTCAAGGGTTGTTCAATCATTTCTGATTTGTTTTTAACCATTTTATACTTTAGTTTACCAATTTAAAGCAACCTCCAGCATTTTTTTAAGCTTTAGATCAAAGCTTCTCAAACTGGGGTCCCAGGCCCCCCAGGGGCTAACATTGTCACAGCAAATTTTCTCTAGTTTAATTTCTTTTGTTACAAAGCAGTTCATTCTATCACAGCTAGCTTGACAGTTTAAAACATATTATTTGACATTTATTAACATCAGTATTTATTTTGGTTTTTTTTTACAATGTATTTTAAATCTTTTCATTTTTGTCACATATACTGTATATTAATTTGTACTTAGCAATTCAGGGTTTACAGGATTATTCAGTTCTTTGCAAAATTGCTTTATTTCTCTCTTTACCTACAGATAATTACCATATTCAAATTTTGATGGTGCCAATGCATATACATACAGTGGTTTGCAAAAGTATTCATACCCCTTGAATTTTTCCATATTTTGTCACATTACAACCACAAACATAAATATATTTCACTGGAATTTAATGTGAAAGACCAACACAAAGTGGTATACAATTGTGAAGTGGAAGCAAAATTTTACATGAATCAAAACATTTTTTACAAATAAAAAACTGAAAAGTGCGATGTGCAAAATTATTCAGCCCCCCTGATTCAATACTTTGTGGAGCCACCTTTTGCTGCAATTACAGCTGCAAGTCTTTTAGGGTATGTCTCCACCAGCTTTGCACATCTAGTGACTGCAATTCTTGCCCATTCCTCCTTGCAAAACAGCTCAAGCTCAGTCAGATTGGATGGAGAGCGTTTGTGAACAGCAGTTTTGAGATCTTGCCACAAATTCTCAATTGGGTTTAGGTCTGGACTTTGACTGGGCCATTCTAACACATGAATATTCTTTTTTTTAAACCACTCCATTGTAGCTTTGGCTTTATGTTTAGGGTCGTTGTCCTGCTGGAAGGTGAACCTCCGCCCCAGTCTCAAATCTTTTGCTGACTCCAACAGGTTTTCTTCCAAGATTGCCCTGTATTTGGCTCCATCCATCTTCCCATCAACTTTGACCAACTTCCCGGTCCCTGCTGAAGAGAAGCACCCCCAGAGCATGATGCTGCCACCACCATATTTGACAGTGGGGATGGTGTTTTCTGAGTGATGTGCAGTGTTCTTTCTCCRCCACACATAGCGTTTTGCATTGTGGCCAAAAAGTTCAATTTTGGTCTCGTCTGACCAAAGCACCTTCTTCCACATGTTTGCTGTGTCCTCAACATGGCTTCTGGCAAACTGCAAACGGGACTTCTTATGGTTTTCTTTTAACAATGGCTTTCTCCTTGCCACTCTTCCATAAAGACCACATTTGTGTAGTGCACGACTAATTGTTGTCCTGTGGACAGTTTCCCCCACCTGAGCTGTGGCTCTCTGCATTTCATCCAGAGTCACCATGGGCCTCTTGGCTGCCTCTCTGATCAGTGATCTCCTTGTTCGGCCTGTAAGTTTAGGTGGACGGCCTTGTCTTGGCAGGTTTACTGTGGTGCCATACTCTTTCCATTTCCGGATGATGGATTGAACAGTGCTCCGTGAGATGTTCAAAGCTTGGGAAATCTTTTTATAACCTAAGCCTGCTTTAAACTTCTCCAAAACCATATTCCTAACCTGTCTGGTGTGTTCTTTGGACTTCATGATGCTGTTTGCTCCCCAATATTCTCTTAACCAACATCTGAGGCCGTCACGGAGCAGCTGTATTTGTACTGAGATTAGATTACACACAGGTGGACCCTTTTGAGTCATTAGCAGTCATCAGGCAACTTCTGAATGCAATTGGTTGCACTCAGGGAAAAGGGGGCTGAATAMTTTTGCACGTCGCACTTTTCAGTTTTTTATTTGTAAAAAATGTTTTGATTCATGTAAAATTTTGCTTCCACTTCACAATTGTATACCACTTTGTGTTGGTCTTTCRCATTAAATTCCAGTGAAATATATTTATGTTTGTGGTTGTAATGTGACAAAATATGGAAAAGTTCAAGGGGTATGAATACTTTTGCAAACCACTGTATATATTTTATTTGGAAATGTATTCATTTCATTTAAAACAAAATAACTATATACTATATGTATGTGTGTGTGTTTATATATATATGTATATATACGTATTAGAAGGTAATTCCCCTAACTCCTGCATTGCCGTATTTGTAAAACAAGCTAAGTATGACAGCATAACTAATTTCCTGAAGTTGTGCTCTGGCTTTAGTGGCCCCCACAAGTTCCCCCCACCCCGCTCGTTGAAACATTTCTTTAGGCATCTGTTGGAAAAAATATGCGTTGTTCAAAATTGTATGTCCGAATAAAACAGGAATCTGCTGGATTTCTTCTTTAAAACTTTATTTTTAATCTTCTGACTCCAATCGGGTTCATTCAGCTCTCCGCAGCACAGGCCTCAGCGCAAGACCTTRGGCTGAATCAAAACAAACACGGGAGCTCTGCTCTGAGCAGACTCTGCAAACACTGACAACTTCCTTTACTATAATAATGAATTGAGCTTATAATGTATCTTTCTTCCTGGTTACACCCCTGAGGTGTTACCTTTTACGTCAGACATCAGAACGTCACTCAGTTTTGTTTAGGCTAAAGAAAGAACACATGATAAGACACACACCAACTCTTATTCTGTTATGGCCTTAAAGCTGCAATGATCAGGAAGTATAAAATACAAAACTGAATCTAATATTCAATAAATCAGTTACAAAATTTCCTTCACATCACTGGTGATATCTATAAATCCAAATAATTGTGGTCAAACAAAGCTCAAACAGTGATTGTGTAAAAACATAAAGATTTCCAAACACCAGTTCAGTCATAGAAAGTCCAAATTTCTGTGTCCCATGTAAATGTTGAAAGATGTTTGTACTTTTGAGCAACAGAGTGGCAAGAGGGGCTGGTTTTGCTTTCATTTTGCAAAAACTGTATTTGTTATGACTGTGGACTACTTTCTGTAGTTTTTATCAATTTTGTCTAAAAGTCAGAGAACAATGTTTTCAATTCAAGCTGCATGATTTTTTWAATTTATTGTTTATTTGTATTGGGACAAGTGTCAAGTGTTAATAATACCATACACTAAAACATTTATAGCCTAGGCTAATTTGCAATGCCAGTCCTTAGATGGGCTTTTAGCAATATGAAAATAAAAGATCTTTAAATACAGGTTAAAAAGAACAAGACATTGCAGTATTAAGAYRATTCATAAAACATCTCCTTCACAAATTGCTTCAGTCTTGATCTCAAATGGTTCTGGTCAGAAATCAGTTTCAAACCTGTAGGTAAGGAATTTCACATCTCTCAAGCAGAAAAAGCTGTTTGACCCAAATAAGTTTTTAAAAATGAACTCTACAGTTCCCACTGTCTGATCCATGTTTTTAAAGCTGTGGGAGGAGAAGAAATGGTGATAGAAACAGAAGAATAACAGTAAAAAGTTTGCTTCAATGTTTTTATGTGTGGGCACCTTTAATAAGTAAGCAAGTAAAACTTTATTTAAATAGCACCTTTCAAGATAGAAATCACAAAGTGCTTCAACTAACAGGACAACAAATACAAAAAACTAATTTAGATAAAAGCAGCTTTGTGGTGAATAGGCAGAGACTGGGATCATGTGGTATAGGTGGTAATTTTAAGATCATCTGGTTATTGGTTTTTGAGTGGGTGGTGTGGGAAGTCTAATTTTTGCTGACCGCTTTAAGCCTTGAGAACTTTGTGCTGAATATTTTTGCCTTTGATTGCTTGTTTCCACTGCTCTGGAACATGGACATCTGTTTTTGCCTTGGATCTATAGGATTTTTTTCTTCTTTTTGGACAACGGGCGTATCAACATTAATCCCCCTATTCAGCTGCTCCGCAACTTAGTTGTTGACAGTTATCCCACGATTTGTCAGCAAAAATTAGAACGACAACGGGACCTCCCCTTTTGTTTGCTCAGCAGGAATGTGGACGCAGACCCACACACCACTGCCACCATGCCCTTGAAAGCGGGTTGCTTGAAAAAGAAGAGGACAGTAGTAAGTAACTTTTTTGTGCTGCGTATTGCTAGTTTGAACGCAGTTTGATTCTGCCACGAGAAGATGAAATGGTGACACGCCCCCGCTGTGTTTGCAGTGGGAGTTTGCACAGAAGGCACAGTTCCTTCATAATGGTGAAGTCAAGGGTGGCACCTTTAAAATCAGTCACAATTCCCCGTATTGATTTTACAGCAGCTGTGGTAGCAGTAAGCTTGGATAGGCTGTGGGGGAAGATAGCTAAGACTACCTCTCCTAGATTCAGTGTTCTGAACAAACAGCACTTCTGTGTTGAAAAACATCAATAACGAGACAACCAGATTTTGTGCCAAACCGAGTGTCAGAAATCCTAGGGCCTCAGTGAAGGTGTGTGAATACAACGCATAACCCCGCAGACTTTGCTTCCAGAGGGATTAAGGCAGAGCTCTTCTTACATGACACTAAATTGTTATTTGGTCCTGCATTTCTTACACAGTCTGAGAGAGACTGGCCAGTAAATCCAGAGAACCTGCAGGAACTTCCAAATGAAGACCCTGAAGTCAAGGTGTCTGCTGCTATCAATACCAAACCAACACACAATGATGATAATCATCCTTTGACGCTTTTGATTTGTCGTGCTTCATCCCGGACCTGTCTTAGGGTGATGGGTTGGATTTTCAGGTTGAAGACTTTGGTCTCGCATCGTAAAAGGAATAAGATGTATCTGCAGTCTGCATCTGGCACAACCTGGTCCAAAGGTGCTCATCCCTCAGTTGAGTTCCATGATGACTTTCTTTCACTGGGAGAGATTGAGGATGCTGAGATGCATATAATCACGTTTTGTCAAAGGAAAAAATATGCTGAAGAAATTTCCAGCCTCTGAAATGGAGAGTGTGAAGCAAAGCAGCCATATATACAAGTTGAAYCCTATTTGGGGGGATGATGCGTGTTGGCGGGTGTTTCAGCAGGGCTGTCATGTCTGAAGATTCTAAACACCCTGTCATAATCGTTAAAGATCTTCACATCGTTTATCTTATTCTACAGCACATCCAAAAAAGGGGTGGGTCATGGTGGTAGAAACCACATGATCTCAAAGCTGCATCAGAAATATTGGATTCCTGGTGCTGGAGCTTTGATTAGAAGCATTATGTCAAGGTTTGTGATCTGCAGACGGTAACATGGAGCTGCAGGCCAGCAGCAAATGGCTGATTTGCCCAAAAGCAGAGTGACCCCTGAAAAAAACCTTTAGCTTTGTTGGACTATTTTGGTCCATTTGAAGTGAAGCGTGGGACAAGTCTTGTGAAGAGCTATGGAGTCATCTTCACATGCTTGGCGATTAGAGCTGTACATATTGAGGTCGCCTCATCTCTTGACACAGATTAATGCCTTACGACGTTTCATTGCAAGGCGAGGGCAGGTTCAAGAACTGCACTCTGATAATGGTACCAACTTGGTGGGTGCAGAGCATGAGCTGAGACAAGTCATGGAAAAGTGGGATCAGGAATGGATCGCTGATGCATTGTCTTTGAAGGGAGTGAAATGGATCTTTAATCTTCCTACAGGATTGCATCATGGCGGAGTATGGGAGAGGTTGATTCGTTCCATCAGAAAAGTCCATAACTCCACCCTGCAGACATAGCATTTGAACAAGGAACTCCAAACTGCTCTCTGTGAAGTGGAGTCAATCCTCAACCCATTACACTGGAATCCTCTGAGCCAAATGATTTGGAAGCTTTAACACCGAATCACCTCCTCCAACTCAAGTCTAACCCATGTTTACCACCTGGTTTGTTCCAGAAAAGTGATCTGTATGCACGTAAACGATGGCGACAGGTCCAATACCTGATTGGTTTTGGAAAAGATGGATTAAAGAATATTTGCCACAGCTTCAACAGCACCAGAAATGGGCAAGGATTAAATGCAACTTTGTTCATGGAGTCGTGGTCCTTACAGTGGATGACTCTGCACCACATGGTTCTTGGATTGTTGGCAGAATCACAGGAACTGTGCCAGACAAGAAGGGACTTGTACGACAGGTCTGGATCAAGACCCCAACCAGCCATGTACAGTATACAGACCATCACTTCTTCAGGAGACTTCCAACCAATGAAGAAGACTTTTCCTTAATTTGACATGACTTTGATTTGACATTGACATTACCAGATGTACAATGCAGACTGACTATATTTAAGCTAAGTTCTGGTAACCTCTGGCCTATGACTGACTGACTATACACGGAATGACTTTATTGGACTATTTGAAAGTGTTATGTTGTCCTATTGTGTATCTGTGATGCAATATATAACTTAAGTTATGGTGTCTGATGTGTAATTATTACTGAAATGATGTAATAATTAGAGGGTCACAATGGGGTGAATAGGCAGAGACTGGGCTCACACCGTGTGAAGTTTTTAAACTTTATTTGGATCAAACGAGAGGAAATTTCTGTCTATATTTTGTCAAGTATTTTAGTTAAATCTACTTCAGTATACTTTGTAAATTGTATTATTTCATACAACAGACTGAAATGGCCTCAGGAGGGGCCTCWGCTCCCAGGGCCCCCTGTCTGGCCACCAAGGTGGAGCTGACCATCTCGTGCCAGAATTTGATGGACATGGATGTTTTCTCCAAGTCGGACCCTGTGTGCATCTTATACATCAACACATCCAGTTCTCACTGGTATGAGGTCTGTGCTGGGTCATAGTAGATTTTCTTCTGCACCATTTCATGTGTTTAAACCTTTGTTCTGCTCTTTATTACTGATTTAACCTAAAATATTTGGCTTAATCTAGATTGAAGTTGTTRTTTTTTGTCATTTTAGTTTGGTCGCACAGAGATGATCCTAAACTGTCTGAATCCAAAGTTTGCCAAGAAGTTTGTTCTCGACTACTTCTTTGAGACGGTGCAGAGGTTGAAGTTCTCTGTGTATGACATCGACAGTGACAACCAAGACCTGAAGAAGCATGACTTTCTGGGGGAGTTGGAATGTACTCTGGGTCAGGTGAGTTTCACTTTGTACCTTTATACTGCAGGTAAAGCATCGATCCAATAATTTATCTTTTAGTTGCGACTTTATCTGTGTCCAGATCGTCTCAAACAGGCAGATGACTCGACCGTTGTTGTTGAAGGATAACAGGCCTGCCGGTCATGGGACCATTACTGTGAGTGGTCTTCTCACTTTTTTTAACACTGCATTAGACAAGTGGACTCTGCTTGGAACGGATACAAATGTTCACATCTCTTTTCTGTGCAAAACACAAATCCCATGCCATGTTTTTTGTGTTATGTGGTCAGAATAAGGAAGAAGATCCTTTCACGCTGTGCTTTTCCTGTTAAACAGATTTGCGCTGAAGAAATAACAGACACACGAGTGGCAAACTTTGAAGTGTCAGCCCGCAGCCTGGACAAGAAGGTACAGACCAGACCATCACTTTGGAGTTAAATTTTGACTTGGCCATGCCTTTGATTTCAGTTATAAAAATCTTACTCTGTTGCACATAACAAAGCGGGTATTTGTTCAGTTTTTGTGGTGGTCTGATCCTTTCCTGGAATTCTACAAGCAAACTGAAAGTGGATGGCAGCTGGCTCACAGAACAGAGGTGCACTTCATTCATTCTCCAAGTTATTTATCTGCAGGTCTGTGATTATTGAAGACAATTGGTTATTTTACTTTTGCTCATGCAGGTCGTTTATGACAACCAGAACCCAGTTTGGAGACCGTTCCGGATAACACTTCGATCTCTCTGTGAAGGAGATGTGGAAAAACCAATAAAGGTATTTTATTAATCCCATAAATGTTTTATGTCAAATCAAAAGTTCCATCCTGTAGAAAGGTTGTGAACAAATAATCTTACCTGCTGTAGATACCTCTTTAAATTAATAAAACTTCACACCACTTTGATAATTTTGGATTACATAGCCAGATGTCCCAGGCTGAAGGAAGTGCTGCAATGTAAATTTTTAATAACTATAACATTAACAACAAACAAACGCACAACTTGTAAAGGTTTACAACGAAGTAGTGTTCACATAAAGTGCTCTATTTTTTATTTTATTTTTTTCTTATTGGAGCTGTTTTAAACTGGCAGCAATTCACTTTGCTCTTAACTCAGAAGCTGTTAGCTCCTCAGTCTGCTCAAAATAAAACTCCTTTTCTTCAAAGGTTGTTCATAACAATATCTACTCCTTCAATAAAGTAAAGCAGAAAAGGTCATAAAGAAGACAATCTTTTTAAGTTATTGCTGCTAAATGCTTTTCTCCAAGGGATAAAGTGATGGATTTAGTATATTTTAGACACACAAATTCTTGGCTTATTTTGTGTTTTAAAAAAGAGCATCTGAAGGCAGGTTTATTTTTTTATTTTTTGCTAAACCTTTATAGGTTTGTCTGACCATTATTCTAATAATTCACATTCTTTTCATCTCACAATGCTACCAAACAGAAGGCCTTGCCACCCAGATGTATGTATGTATGCATGATTCCTGACCTCACCATACAAATATGTGTTTTGACCTTTCTATAGATCTGAGTTGATCTTATTGCAGTAAGATGTCACGTGTGCATCTCAGGCGTTCAGACATTGTAGGAGAGAGCGGGGTTGGTTGTCACACGGRTTTGTTGTCACAGCAAAATGTTTGTGTGACATTCCAAATTAGTTGTCACATACTGGCTACATTTTTTTTATTTTAGCAGTTGAAACACTTGACATTGAGGTGAGAGGACTTTTTGTATTTTTCACATAATAATGTAACGTTTGATTCTTTTTTTTCCATTTGCTTTTAAGCAATGGATTTAGAATGAAACACTTAGCATTTAAAAGTACAAAGGCAGAGCTATAGTTAGCATAGTCTTTTTTCTTTGCTGGGCATGTGCTAGTTAGCACAACTGTTGTCAGAAAGTCCCTGATAGGAGTCTTTACATCGAAATGCATKTTACATGGTGTTTTCTTTGTTTTTAGGTAGAGAAATTGTAGGAAATTTCAGCAAAGGAGTTTAATACCAATTATTGAACATTGGCAAGATATTACAAAAAATAAATCCATCAGAGATTTCTGGAGATGAAATGTGCCCATCAGTRCCCGTGGGATACATTACCTTTTACTCTGACCACAATGATGTCCCTGTCCATAAGAGGGGCAGGCTGGTTCTCTGGCTTCCTTAAAAGATATCCATCACTCTCAATCAGAACTCCTGAGCCCACCAGCCTTGCATGTGCCAGTGCCTTCAATAGGCACACTGTACATCAGTTCTTCACCAACTTGGAAAATGAGATGAAAAGATATCAGTTTAAGCCCAGATCCATTTGGAATATGGATGAAGCAGGCATGACTACTGTCCACAAACTCAACAAGGTAGTAGCTAGAAGAGGCTACAAGCAAGTTGGATCTCTGACATCTGCAGTAGGGGAACCCTTGTTATCCTGTCCTGTGCTATCTCAGCCACTGGGAACTATCGTATATTCCTCCCTTTTTTATTTCCAGCCTACCAACCCATTTGTGGGGTTGGTTGTCTCAAATTCACAAGTCGTGTTTGGTTGTGCAAATCTTTTGAAGTTTCCTGAATTCTGACAAGACACTTTGGGGTTCCATTACACATTGAAATGAAATTGACTAAGCATTGAATTTTTTTAATGCAATTAAAAAGTGTGACAACCAACCCCATTCTCCCCTAAACCACCATATTTTACCTCACCTCACCTCATCCTCGTTCGAGTCGACTGTCCTTAAACACATCTTATCTTTGTGGTTTATAGAAACACTTGTTTGCCTCCTCAGGTTGACTGTTACGATAATCGTGAAAACGGCTCCCATGTCCTTATTGGAAGCTTCAGGACTACACTAGCAGAGATGTYCGCGCAAACACACTCCTTCCCTGTGAGATCCTCCTTATTTTTCACATACATTCAGTGGTGGAGAAAGTACTCAAACACTGTACTTAAGTAAAAGTACAAATAAACAGACAAAAAATGTACTCTAGTAAAAGTAAAAGTACCACATCAACATTTTTACTTGAGTAAAAGTAAGTACTTGCTTTTAAAAACACTTAAGTATTAAAAGTAAAAGTACTTACTTAATGGTCTACAATATTATGAAGTGTGTCTATGTATATTTTAAATACATCAACGGTGTGCGATTTTAGTGAACAATGCTGCAGTTTGTGTTGACCCTCTGTGACACTGTTCACACTTGGTGTGAATCTGTGCATCATCACAGATTGTGACAACTACGGAACCCGCGGGGGGTCAGTGGGAGAAAAAAAACAGCCGCTGGAAATCCGTGAGCACGGATTACTAAACNTCCCATGTCCTTATTGGAAGCTTCAGGACTACACTAGCAGAGATGTTCGCGCAAACACACTCCTTCCCTGTGAGATCCTCCTTATTTTTCACATATATTCAGTGGTGGAGAAAGTACTCAAACACTGTACTTAAGTAAAAGTACAAATAAACAGACAAAAATGTACTCTAGTAAAAGTAAAAGTACCACATCAACATTTTTACTTGAGTAAAAGTAAGTACTTGCTTTTAAAAATACTTAAGTATTAAAAATAAAAGTACTTGCTTAATGTATTCTCTAATAGTCTACAATATTATGAAGTGTGTCTATGTATATTTTAAATACATCAATGGTGTGTGATTTTAGTGAACAATGCTGCAGTTTGTGTTGACCCTCTGTGTCACTGTTCACACTGGGTGTGATTCTGTGCATCATCACAGATCGTGACAACAGCTACAGACGCTGTAAATTTGTCTCCATCGTCCTTTATCAAATCTCAACAAGTCGTTTTTGAACCAGTTAACTAGAATAAATAAGGCCATGAGTGGCACATTTCCTCCTTTGTGGAAACCATTGTGGGCATGCTGCTGCTGCTGCTGCTGCTGCTGCTGCTGCTGCTGCTGCTGCAGATGATGCAGAATCGCTCTGCTTTTTTTCTTATTTTTGGAGGAGGGTCTAATGGTACTTTCCTGCTTTGCATTGCTTCAATGGACCAATTACAGAAATTGCCCTCTCAACACTGATTACTTTCAAACTAAACAAACAAAAGAACAACAAAAAAAGGCAATGTGACGTGACATGAATGTAATTTGTAATTCAACGCATTACAGAAATGTAATGGAGTAGAAAGTACAGATACTTAATGTAAAATGTAGTGGAGTAAAAGTCAAAAGTACCCATGATGAAATCTACTTAAGTAAAGTACAGATACATGAAAAATGTACTTAAGTACAGCAACAAAGTACTTGTACTTAGTTACATCCCACCACTGCATACATTTTTCATTATTCGTTTCCTTTAACCTGAGCTTTCATTTTACCTGGTATAAATGCAACTCCTCTTTTCATTTTCAGGTAGAATTTGAATKCATCAACCCAAAAAAGTTGGACAACAGGAACTATAAAAACTCAGGTGTCATCTGCATAAGGCGTTTTCAGGTAAGAAGTAAAAGAGACTCCATCATGAGTTCCTTTACATTTAACTCAGTTAAAATAAAGAGCAAACAAGCCTTCATGAATTATATAACTACTATTATCAGATATTACATTACATCATAATTCGTACACTGTCTCTAGCTGTGCTGTTATACCTATGGGCATACTCATGTRTTTCTGTCCTTATCTAGTGTCAAGTTAAGGTTATGTGTTGGGGCTAGGTGACAGGGTTAAGGATTTGGCAAACAGTTTACTACCGGTATATCTAAACTACTGAAKGTATAATAATAATAATATTTTCCAGTGTCAAAATACAATATCACTCTGGTAAATACAAAGCAGGACCAAGGCATGTATGAGAAGACCCACTGCAGGCAACATATTTTTGTTCCCAACAAGGTGTGTGTAGGTGGTGAGAGTTGATGTGAATTTTCTCTTCAGGTGGAAAAAGAATATAGCTTCCTGGATTATATAATGGGAGGGTGTCAGATYAACTTCACGGTGAGTTTTGATTTGACCAAAACAAATTTAACAGTCAGTAATTCTACATAAGACTACTAAGTCYGATTTTTGGTTGATTTATATCGTCTCTCTGCTTTGTCTCAGATTGCCATTGACTTTACAGGCTCTAATGGGAATCCCACCTCTCCTCAGTCCCTCCACTACATCAACCCCAATGGCTATAATGAATACCTGCAGGCCATATGGGCTGTGGGTAATGTCATCCAAGACTATGACAGGTAAATATTGGATCTGACACCTAAAATAATTGGTTGAAGCAGAACTAAGAARGAGTTTGAGTCTTGTCATTGATCTACACTGACCCAATGATCAAATTTTTCCCAGGATCGTTATTTAATTCTTGAGAGACTACAATTTTTATTAACTTTTTTGAATAATCTAGATTCATTTACCTGCTGGAGAAGTATTTCTTCCTCTTATTCAAAGGCTTTTTTTTTATTTTTACTAAATTAAAAATCTTGGCATTATCTATACTTATTTTTCCTCTATGTAGTACCAAGATGTTTCCTGTGTTTGGTTTTGGAGCCAAAGTTCCTCCATCCCACCAGGTGTGTGTGTGTGTAATATTTGGCAACCTGGGCTCAAGCCTGCAGCCTCAGTATTACATGACTGCAGCACTTTTTTAAAGCTCTAAAATAACTCACAATTGAAATTGTGTACATAAAATTTTTTGTCTCCCTCGATGACTGACATTTATTTCAAAAATTCACATTTTAGTTAACATTTTTTTTTGCACAAGTCAAACAGATAAACCTTTACATTCCAACTCCTGCCGACAGGTTTCCCATGAGTTTGCCATCAACTTCAATCCAACAAATCCATTCTGTTCAGGTAGGTCTGAACTAAGTTCATAATTGATCATCTAAAGTGAATCACTACCTCGTTGGATGTGTGCGGGTTGTAGGCATAGAAGGAGTGGTGCAGGCGTACCAGCAGTGTCTGCCACAGGTGGAGCTCTGGGGTCCCACCAACTTCGCGCCGATTATCAACCACGTGGCCCATTTCGCCAAACAGGCTCTCCACCAGCACTTGGCTGCAGTAAGCAACAACAGTACCTTTTATTTTGATACTTTAAAGTATCCTGTTTTTTTCTTGTTTATCTGCATATTTATTTAAAAATACGTACTGACAAAACAAAGCTAAGCACCCAAAAGAAATGGTACAATTTGGACGTAATTTGGTTCACTATGTCCAATCATTCACTACATAGTGCCCTGCACGGTGAGTCATCCATTTTGTGAAATACACAGGGTGTTAGCGCACGGAACATCGCTTTATGTTCAACATTTTCATTTCATATATACATAACTATGTTTATTGTTACTCATTTGTCAGTCTTGTTTCAWTCAAGGTGGCATAACAAAGGTCTTAAAAAGTCTTAARWCTGACTTGCTAAAACCTGCAGATATCCTATACATAGTGCCCTATAAACTCATATTGTGTTTCAGTAAAAGTAGTGTACTCCACATTGGTGGAATCAGACTACAATGCATTGCTGCCTGAGCTGACACAGCAGGTTGAGACCAACACTCATGTCTGTAGCTTATATTGTGAATTTAAGATCATCAAGAATGCCTTCAATTATCTACACATCTCTAACAGAAAATGTCGTATCTCCTTCACTGTCAGAAATGTGGGGCTTGAGACATTGTTAGAAAACTGTGAACCGAAGCYATATTTAAACATTTAAGTCTGAGTATAAAACATGTTAAAARACATGCTGTAGGCTTCAGCAAGCTGTGTAGATCTGTGCCGTTATAATACATATTTTGTAGCGYAGTCTTTGATATTCTAATAATCACTGGTCATCAGAAATGTTAATTTACCAGCATCTGATCCCTTTGTTTCTGTTCTTGTGCAGCAATACTTTGTGCTGCTCATCCTCACAGATGGTGTCATCACAGACATGGACCAGACTCGTGTTGCCATTGTGGAGGCCTCCCGTCTGCCAATGTCTATCATTATAGTGGGCGTTGGTGCAGCAGATTTTAGCGCCATGGAGTTCCTGGATAGTGACGACAAACTGCTGTATACGCCCACCGGGGAAGCCGCCGTCAGAGACATYGTGCAGTTTGTGCCTTTCAGACAGTTTTACGTAAGCCATCAGCTGAAATGTCTTGAGTTAGCGCTGACTGATTTGAATATAAACAAGCTTTTTTTATTTTTTATTTTACTGGTCAGGACAAACTGATTCGTTCTCATTGCTGTCACATTTTCCCTACAGGGTAACAGTGTGGCCCTTGCTCAGAGCGTCCTGGCAGAGCTTCCTGATCAAGTGGCATCTTTCTTCAATGCTTACAAGCTAAAACCTCCCAATCTTGCATGTGTGCCGGAGCCTTCCCAATAAAATGTGTTAATTTGTGCCTCCTTCAGACCAGTCTGTAAACTGAGCTCTGCTGCTCTGAAACTCCAGAGCATATGGYTTAAAAGTCAAACAAAGGTTTAAAAAAAATGTGTATTTTGCATATTTTGTATTCATACAATGTTTTATTTAAAAATGTGCCTCAAATTATTCACAACTGTAATGAAAAAATATTTAAAAATACGATTTTCCACCTGCTAAATGGGGCCAGAGAGACTCTTCAACCGGACCAGAGAGACCCTTTATTTAAAATCGACATCAAGCTTTCATTTAAGTTGCGTAATGAAAATGTTTAGAAGTTAAAGATAAAACTAGGCTTTTTCTTCATATTATGTTTTTCTTTCAGTGCTAGGAAGCATCTTGTTTTAATAAGCTTTCTGCCCCTGTTGGACCACTGTGACATTTATATGAATGCACCTGTCCTACACATGCCTACACAGTTTGGATGCTGTGTATCACAGTTCATTAAGGTTCATAACAGGATGTAAAACTTTCACTCATCACTGCACATCATTAACAATTCGTAGGCTCATGCACTAGTACATTTTATCTATAAAACTATTTTGGRATTGTTCCCACCTTACTTGTCCTCATACCTTTCACTTAGACAGTCCGGTGACAGGCTACGCTCTCAGGACTCGCTCTCCTTCAGTGTTTCGTTAGTACGGTCAGAACTTAGGGAAAAAAAGTCATTCTGCTCCGTCAACGTGGAACGCTCTACAGCAGGATATGAAGTTACGTACTTTGATTTCCTTGGGACAATTCAAATTTCTTCTAAGACAAAACGTGAAATCTTATGAAATGTGCTCTTGTTTTTAGCTCGTTTTATTAGCTTATTTATTTGAGTCAATTGGATTTTTTTTTTGTTATTGTGTGCGTGTGTATCTTGTGTGTTTGTAAATTTTGCTTTATAACAGGTCTCTCTTGGAGATGAGATTCTGGATCTCAATGAGACTACCTGTATGAATAAAGGTAAAAAAAAAAACCATACCAAAGAGTCTTTCTGGTTTCTGACCGAACATAACCAGGCTGAAGACGGTGMCAGAGAGACTCTCAGGTCAACCGAACAAATCATAAAAAACAAACACTTTTTGTTTCATCTTTGTTGGTTTATATTTTAACTTCTATTAAAGTTACATAGTGGTTCCTCCATTTTGTGATTAAGATTATACATATAATAAGGTATCGGCATAGGCGTAATTTGCAGGGGGGTTATGACCCCCACAATAATTTGAGCCAGTCAATATAACCCCCCCCCAATAAAATGGCATCATTTGCTCAAAACACAATAGAAATTAACTGGTTAAGTAGACAGATGCAACTCTCTTGTTGTCTTTAGGTAACTTTGACTTGATTTAAAAATGTACAATGTCATGTTTTCAAGCATTACCTCCCCCACCACCCCACCCCCACAATGGTAGACTTAAAGTTACTCCCTTGGGTATCAGTCAAATCAGATATTGATCAGATGCTGCTGCTGACTGATCCATAATGTGATGTAAATGTAACATTTTCTACATATAGGTAAAATTAATCACTGCAATGAAAAAACTCAGTTTTTGTCACTTTTACTGTTGATTGCATCGACTCTGTTACATACAGAAGGGAAGCTTCACCGAAGTGAAACATAAATCTGTGGATCTGTGTTTGATTACTCTGGATGGCTTTCTCAAGGACCAGGATGTGACACACAAAAATTTGAATTTTGAAATTGAAATTGAACTATGGAACTGAAAGTGAAAGTAGTCAAACTGAAATATTTTAATAGAACAAAATACAGTTTCTAAGCAAATTAATTCAAATTCAAAACTTTAAATTCAGTTTCAATTTAATGAAATT